CACACACACACACACACACACACACACACACACACACACACACACACACACACACACAAACACACGCGCGCGCGCACACAGAGTACGAATGTACACTGAAAGTCACAGATGTTCCCATACTATTTGTGTGATTCCTGCAGGCTGTCGAATACAAAGTATTCTGTAGCCTCAGTGAAACCTGCTTGGAGAAGTAAAGCAGGAAAATACGAAATGATTCATGGGGCCAAGCTGTATGAAGACAGTTGCTGGAAGCGAAAACCACTCGAGCAATTGCTTTGTTAGCACTCATTCAAGTTGGTTCAACACATCTAGGAAATCCTAAAACCCAGGCTTTTCGTTGTTCCACAGCGTCCTAATGACACATCCTAGAAAAAAGCACACAGACGACAAATGTGAAAATACTTACAAATGACCATGAATGTGAGAATATCTCTAAGACGTGTCCTGCAGTTTCTAGGATGACACGGGTTCCACAGTGTCCTAATGACACATCCTAGAAAACACATAGACGACAAATGTGAAAATACTTACGAATGACCACGAATGTGAGAATATCTCTAAGACGCGTCCTGCAGTTTCTAGGATGACACGGCCATTTTTTCAAAGTTTTCAAGTCTCCTCCTGAGAAGACTTGAGTTGAGAAATGCATTCTCCGAGTGGCGACAGCATCCTGCAAATTCCATATGTGACGGAGCCCGATGGGCTGAGGGGGGGGTTCTAAATGCGAGTAGATGGCAACCCACCTTATCGCTCATCCTAAGAGGGCACTTTCTACCAAAGGCCCTAGCCCAGTTGGTACACCCATGAATTCTTGATATCCAGACCCAAGTTCGAGTCCATATGCAACCACATGAACAGCAAAACATAATTCCTGCGCTGCCAGATGTCCGATCGGGAGACGTCTCCGCCGGATGTCTCCGGGAGACGGTCGGTGGGAGTTGTCCGGGATCCCAGGCAATCGGAGAAGGGGGTCTGTGCACCAGTAGGGGACCCCCCCAAAAAACATTTCAGCCGATTCTGAGCAAAAACGAAAAAGGTGGATGGAGGATTAAACGCTGCAGACGCATCAGCTGCAGCAGATGCAGGAGGTTCAGCAGCTGCTGCGTCTGCAGCAGCAGATGTAGCACCTGCTGCAACAGGTGCTGCGGATGCTACAGTGGGTACAGCATGTGCAGCTGCTGCAGCAGAGACTGCAGCACTAGAAAAGAAAAGAAAAAAAAAAAAGACTGCAATGGCGGCGGGGTTCTTTTTTTCACACAACAATCTTTGGTGCTTTTTTTTTAATGAACTCAAAATACCATGAAAAAATATAAAGGTATAACTCACTTTACAAAGAACCCGTAAGGGGAAAAAAAAAAAAAAAAAAAAAACCCTTAAAACCACCAGTACATCTGCCAGTGTTGGGAAATTACAATGTACTGGTCTGTCCCCGAAGAAATCGGTGGTGGGACCCAGGGTCGGCGAGTCCCATAAATCCTAGTTTTCTTTTGCCCGCACGTGAAAGAAAAATGCAAAAAAAAAAAGCTTTTGTACTGCAATGATGTCGGGCAGGGTAGTCTATGAGGCCGTGCTCACAGTCTTCCTCTACAGAATGCATCCTACAGCAAAGAGGGTCACATTCTGAAACTTGTTGTTTTATTCGTTTTATTTCTCGTTTGTTTGTTACGAGTCCCCTGCCAACAAGGCAGGGTGGAATCCGTGATCTGCGCTGGCTGTGTTTCCTCAGAGGATTGTAACCCTGATGTATCCAGCCATTTTCACGGCCTTTTTTTTTCTTTTTTCTGTTTCTGGAATCTGACAATCTGAATCCGTGATCTTCTCGGGTTGTGTTCCCTCAGAGGATTGTAACCCTCATCACACTGGCACTTAGAGGAACGTATCCAGCCATTTTCGCGGCGGAATACATGTTTCTGTGTTTTTTTTTTTGTGTGTGTGTTTTTGGAATCTGACAACCTGGCCATGGGGCTGAGATGCCCTCACTGAGGGCACACTCACACTACCACTTCCAAGAATGTATACAAGTGCAATCACGGCCAGAGCATTGTTTCCTTTTCTTTTTTTGTGAGTTTGACAGCCGCAACTTTTTTTTCTTCTTCTTCTTCTTTTTTTTTTTCTTTTTTTTTTTTTTTTTTTTTTTTTTTTCCCCCTCCCCGTGAGAGTACCATAAAGAAAAGGAGTGGGACCCAGGCTCGGCAAACTCGGAGCGCAGTGAAATTCAGGGTCGGCAAAAACAGGCTCCGAGATTCTGGTGGTTTAAGCCCCAAAATAAAAGAAACAGGGAGGAGTGCACAAAGGGAGGAGTGCACAAAACGTTGTTTTCAGGGTTTGACAATCTTTTCCTAAACCAGCTTCAGCACACATGACTGAAAAGGTGGTTTAGAAAAAAGTTTTTTTTTTTTTTGTCAAACCCTGAAAACGTTTTGTTCACTCCTCCCTGAAAACGTTTTCAGGGTTTGACAATCTTTTCCTACACCAACATCAGCATCTATGCACTTTATTTCAACAGTCCACGGGTGTACCAACTGAGATAGGCCCGTTGTTAGAATCTCTCTCCTTTTCTCACCAAAGCTGTCCTGAATTTCAGTCCCAATCAGAACGACCTCGGGTCCATCCATTCTATACACAGCACACTGTAGATTGCTCCCTCTCCTCTCTGTGTGCCGAGATCTTTTTTTTTTTTTTTTTTTACTTTGGACCATTTCTCGATTTATGCGTGTCATCCTTGCGCAGGGGCCATGCTAATCTTCTTTATATCATTCCAATTTTAACAGATGTCCCGAAGGACCTGTGTGCTGAGATCTAATAAGGCATATGGCTTTTTCTTCAGACAGAGTGCCTTGGTAGCATCCTCCAATCATGGTCTGCCACTCGCTTAATTCTTCGTTAACCTGGCTTTGAAAAATGTTTCTTAAGACTCATTTTGGTTCACTAATCCAGCTACGGTAGCTCATTGTCTAATCCAGCAAGCTCATAATCCCCAATCCAGCTGGCTTATTATGCAATCCAGCGAGATCGTGATCGACTCATCAACACCAACATGCATTCAGTGCTTTGCACTATGCTTTGTTATGGCTTCATTGTTGACAATTTATAGAGTTGAATAACAGGCTGAGCGTCCATTACCTGCCGGCAAACAAGGTTGGAGTCTCCCTGAACGAGAAGCCTCGACACCCCCCTCTGTTGTGCCGCTCTGAGACCGACTATCAGCCCCCGGTACTCTGCCTGATTATTCGTGGCAGTCCCCAGGCACTCCATCACTTCACAGTCCTGAGTGCAAAGAGAAACATTCCACACAAACAGTAAGTACGTCCGTACGTCGCGAATGTTCAATGTTCATGCAGGCTCCAAAAGACAGACAAAAAATGGCAGACACAGATAGAGAGATGAGTGGGGAGAGAGAGAGAGAGAGAGAGAGAGAGAGAGAGAGAGAGAGAGAGAGAGAGAGAGAGAGAGAGAGAGAGAGAGGAGAGGGGATCGGCAAAGAGACAGCCACAAGAAGTACCAGGGAACTAACAAAGGGAGGGGGGAGGCATGGAGGGAGGGACGAGAGAGAGACAGAGAAGCACAAAAGGAAGGATCTACACACACACACACACACACACACACACACACACACACACACAGCGAGAGAGAGAGAGAAAAGCGGAGTCATCAAATGCGAACTACAGACACGTGGAACCCAAATCACAAGGGAGGGAGGGAGGGAGGGAGGGAGGGAGGGAGTGTGAGGTGGGAGTGTGAGGACGGAGTGTATGGCGGAAGTGTGAGGAGCGAGTGTGGGGGAGGAGGGGAGGAGTGTGTGTGGGGGAGTGTTTGCAGAATGATTCGTGTACTAGTATCTTGTAAGGGACAGAGAGGGTGGAAGGGACCTCAGATGTGTCTACATACCACAGAGCCATCGGGACGCCTCAACAGCGCACCTGCTCCTGCCCTTCCAGGATTTCCTTTACTAGCTCCGTCAAACTCTAGCCGGTACACCTGTTGTCAAAAGAGGAGGTTTGGTTTTTCAAACCAAAACCAGCCACCCCGCAACAGAGATGATTACAAAAAAGCGTTTGAAATCAGATATAAGAACCCTCTGGAAAGTCGAACAGTGTTCAGCAGCACGAGCACCAATCAGATACAATTAACACCTGCCAAGTTCCCATCAGATATATGATGAATTTGAAATCGTCGAGGTTGTTGAATGAAGCACATGATATTATAAAAGTCTTGACAGCTCTGATGTCTTTTCATTTGCCGTTCCATTCTATAATAGAACTCATCATGTCATCATATTGTTTTCTATGCATTGAATTGAATCATAAACAGTTCGAGTGAGGCAATCTCCTGTAGTGAAGCATCGTCCGAATCGAATGCATCTCCGTCGAAGAAAGGCCCGGTTCGTGGTGTGTATGCAAATTCAGTCTTCTGCAATTCAGTCCGGAGCTATCAATAGGGGGGGGCGGACATAAAAAATAAAAAATAAAAAAAGGGGGGGGGGGGGGGGGGGGGGGAAAAAAAAAAAAAAAAAAAAAAAAAAAGAGGGGGGGGGGGGGGGGGGGGGGGGGGACGAACAGACAGACAGACAGACAGACAGACAGAGTGGCAGAGAGACAGACAGGGGGGTTTGTTTTATACATGCTGATAATTTGCCTTAAACATCTGAGTGAAAAAGTTGCGGTACAGGGAAAGGGATGCTCACTGCCATGAACATATATCTCAGTGAAAAACTTGCTTATCTGAGTGCAAATATTATGGGACATGCATACGGTACATATACATATATCGTCAAATAGAACTGCCCGGTAAACCGTAGGCAGAGAGGGAGAAGAGGACAACAAACGAGGGGCTGTGACAAACTGTATATGTAGTATTATATATCGTCACAAATTTATCAGAGCGCAAATGCGAAAAAAGAAGAAATAAATTAATTTTTAATCTTCTTCCTTACAAGACTCCCCCTGTTCAAAACCTCTTGCGTACAAGGCCGCCCACGTGGATGTAGGTTGAGCGGCGGCTGCCCCCACCCCCGTGTGTCACAAGGACCCACTTGCACGCAGCCAAAAGGCAAAAAAAAGGTAAAGAAAAGGAGGAGGAAACCAAACCTCACAGAGGCAAGAAAAAGAGAAAGGGATCCAGTGAAAGAAAGGACAAGGGAAGAGGAAGGCAGGCACATTAGCCAAGCAAAGCAATTGACACATCCCTCAGATAAACCAATTGCCACTGTCACAACAAAGTTCAACATATTTTATATTTTTCCTTACTTACTTTTTTCTTTTTTTCTTTTTTTCTGATTTTTTTTATCGAAAGCTTCATATGTCCTATAATCAGTGTTGCTCCCGACCTGCTTGATTCTATTGAGACCAGTTACGAAGAGGACCCCCCACCCCGGCAGATATATATCGTCAAACAGAGCTGCCGACGGTAAACCGTAAGTGGCAGAGAGGGAGGGAGGGAGAAGAGGACAACAAACGAGGGGCTGTGACAAACTGTTTCTTCGGGGCTTCACCGACTCATCAGAAGGCATGTATATATAAATATATAGATAATCATAAAGAACTCCCCGGTGAACACTGGGCAGAAAGGGAGAAGAATGCATATTCTATATCATAATAAGTACATGAATGTCTGTATTGCACAGGAATGTTTGTCGTTTTCCCAAAACAGGAAAACTAGAGACCGGATAGGTCATGTGGTCACACTTGCGTCTGCAACTCCAATTCTTCCGATCGACAAAATTCACTCAAAAATCCAATTTTTTTATTAAAAAAAAGACTTCTTTTACGTTTTCTTTTGAGTTTTTCCCGGTCCCGGGCAGCCCAGACCTGCCCGGAAGGCTGCCCGGGGCGGCCGCCTCTGGTCACCTGGCGTGTCCGGTCGGGCACCCGTGCACGTCGTCCGGCCGCCCGGGCTACCCTCTTCACCCGATTACAACGCCTGGTCATTATCGCTGTACCTAGACTGAAAGTTGAACCAGATACGGCTATATTGACGGGGCGTTCTATTCGGGTGAAGACGGTAGCCGGACATGGGGGAGGGAGGGGGGGGGAG